GAAAGTGCCCTGGGCTGCCAAAAGAACCAACAGATCTGTGTTGGAAGAAGTGCAGCCAGAGTGCTCCTTGGAGGCCAAGATGGTCAAACTTCATCTCTCATACTTCGGACATATTGACAAAGTGGCAGCGTCAATGGGCTCAAGCGTGGCAATGACAGTGAAGTTGGCTCAGGATTGGGCAGTGTTTCGTTCTGCTGTGTATAAGGTCACTATGAATCGGTACCGACTCGATGGCACCTAACAATCTTTATGCTGATGCGGCTCTGTGGGATAATGCATTAGACCGCAAAGTCTGTTTGAACTGCAAGGTTGGCAGTTCAAATACACCAGCCTCTCCTTAGAAAGCCTCTACAGGGTCACTATGAGTCGGAAACAACAACCTTTATGGATTAGCAGGAGTAGTTCTACCTTGTAACACATGCCTCAGTAGCAACAGGGATGCTTTGGTTTCAGATGCTTTTCAAATCCAAGTGAAAGTCCTGTTTGGGTTCTCTGTGTCTCATCTCTCAGTGAATGTGCTAGAAAGTTGAAAGTACCTTTATCTGCTCATCTGTACCTACTGTCTAAGTTCTCCATCCAGGTGTTAACTCTAGAAAACTTGGGATGATCAAGGCATTCAGTGAAAAGGGGTGGGGACAAGGTGGACTGTCCCACCTGAGCTGAAAGAGACATGGTTCAGGGAAGACTTTGGTAGGAGCCCAAGACTGTTTCAGGGAAACTTCGGTGAAGTGTTCAGTGGACGCCTACGAGCTGACAATACCCTTGTGGCCGTGAAATCTTGCCGAGAGACACTGCCCCCTGACATCAAGGCAAAGTTTCTACAGGAAGCGAGGTGGGTCATATGAGCCTCACCGTAGGCTCCCCTCACACGGGGGTTCCTCTGTGTGGCACTGCATGAGTGTTTGACTGCCGTAGTCTCCCTCAGTCTTCATGGCCCCCTATGTAAGCAGTGCCCTCCCTCACATTGTACAGAGAGACCCAGTGAGCTGCCTGAGGCCACACTTCCTGGTCTGCTGGCTCCAGGCACTTTTCCTATTGCCCTTTCTCGCCCTCCAACACCTATCTTGAGGCTTCCCTGGGACTGGGGAGGCCACTGTTTGGGCCCCAGAGGTGGGACTAGGCCACGTGGTACCTAAGCAGCAGGGCCCTACAGGATTCTGAAGCAGTACAGCCACCCCAACATCGTGCGTCTCATTGGCGTCTGTACCCAGAAGCAACCCATCTACATTGTCATGGAGCTGGTGCAGGGTGAGCCGAGGCTGCAGACCTTCAGGGATGGGCAACTCAGCTCAGCCAGCTGGGTCCCTACAGGGGGCTCAACAGGGCTTCTCCTGTCCCCAGGAGGCGACTTCCTGACCTTCCTTCGGACAGAGGGTGCCCGCCTGCGGGTGAAGACTCTGCTACAAATGGTGGGGGATGCGGCTGCTGGCATGGAGTACCTGGAGAGCAAGTGCTGCATCCACCGGTAAGTGTCGGGGCAGTCCAGCCCTGATACCACACCTGGCCAGAGTCAGGAGGTGCTTGTCACCCCTAGACTTCTCTGACTCCCCATCACCTGACCACCAAGCATCAGCTCCAGCAGAGATGCTTGTCTTGCGTGTGAGGTTTGGCTCCTGGCCAAGTCCCCAGGGCTTAGCTGTGGCTAAGCAGGTGAAAAGGGCTTTGTGGACATTATCTGAATGAGCTCCGGCTCTGCCCTGCCTGATCCAGGGACCTGGCCGCTCGGAACTGCCTGGTGACCGAGAAGAATGTGCTGAAGATCAGTGACTTTGGGATGTCCCGCGAGGAAGCTGATGGCATCTATGCAGCCTCAGGAGGCCTCAGACAAGTCCCTGTGAAGTGGACCGCCCCCGAGGCTCTTAACTACGGTACCTGGTCCATGTCTTCTCCTGCCTGCAGGGCTGGAGGCTGGGCCCTGTCCTGTTACCTAGGGCAGCCATAACAAGATAACACAAAGTGGGTGGCTTCAAAGAACAGAAATATTTTTGTCTACCAGCGCTGGGGGCTAGAACTCCCAATCAAGACCTCAGCTATAGCAAGTCTTTCTGAGGACTTTAGGGGAGCGATGATCCTTGAATAGCTACTGTCAACACTTGGCCTTCCTTTGTTTCTCTGTGATATATCCTCAGATGGCATCTTCCTCCAAGTGTGACTCTGACTCTGTGTCTGTCCGCCTCATTGATAAGACCGCAGTCATATAGGATTAGGATCAATATTGCTTCATGAACTGCACTGAGATTATATTCAAAGAGAGGTTCTATTTTCCCAACAAGGTCGTATTCATAGGTACAGGGGTTAGAACTTGTGCACATCTGTTTGGGAGCATAGTTCAATTTATAACACAATAGTTAAGAGCTCTGCCTTCCTCTGTCTGCCTCACCCTAGCCACGTGGACAGCCACTTACTCTGCCTCCTGTCCTCTGCAGGTCGCTACTCCTCCGAGAGTGATGTGTGGAGTTTTGGCATCTTGCTGTGGGAGACTTTCAGCCTGGGGGCCTCCCCGTACCCCAACCTTAGCAACCAGCAAACTCGGGAGTTTGTGGAAAAAGGTAAGGAACCCATCTGCATGCCTTCAGCCTTTAGAACCAGGCCTTCCCCACAGGGTTTTAGCTGGATTCTTCTTGGTCCCCTAACCTTCTACCTTCCCACTGGGACCCAATATGAATAATACTGTGGCTACCATTGACTGAGCACCTACTATGTGCTAGGCTACTCATTAGTGCTATTGTTCTTCACAGCATGTGAGGTGGGTATTGGTAGGTCCCCTTTCCAGATGGGGAAACTGAAGCTTGCCCACAGTTTACTGCCCCCCTTCCCCCAGGGCTGGTGTGAGCCCTCAATCCCCCTCCTCATGCTTGTCCTCACAGGGGGTCGCCTGCCCTGCCCAGAGCTGTGTCCTGATGCTGTATTCAGGCTCATGGAGCAGTGCTGGGCCTACGAGCCTGGGCAGCGGCCCAGCTTTAGCATAATCTACCAGGAGCTGCAGAGCATCCGAAAGCGACATCGGTGAGGCTGAGACCCCTCCTCAGCTGCCTCCACTGGACGGGTCTTCACAGTCCAGGACTCCAGCCTCCAGAAGCTTCTGTCTGTCCAGCCTCCCTGCTCTGGTCAGGCTGTCCTTTCCTGGGCAGAAATAATAAAACCACTTGTTCCCACCAGGTGTCTGGAAGGTCTAGAGGGTCTGAACGGTGGCTGCGGGGAAGGAGGGTTTGGGCACGATTGAGGGGGTAAAAGGGACACGATTTACCAGCCAGCAGGATGTGGGACCTATGGAAGCAGGAAAGAAGGTCGGAGTGATCTATTGGCCTCTGACCAGAGGGTGGTCTCATTCCTTGTGATAGGCTTACAGGAAGCAGAGCAGAGCTGCAGGGAGGATGGTGAGTTTGAGAGGCCTGTGGCCATGTAGCGAAGCCCTGGTGGTGCTGTGGTTAAAATGCTGGTCTGCTCACTGCCAGGTTGGCAGTTCGAACCCTCCAGGTGGAAATAGATGTGGCAGTTTCCTTCTGAAAAGATTTACAACCTTGACAACCCTCTGAGCAGTTCCACTCTGTCCTGTGGTGCACTATGAGTCAGAACTGATTGATCAGCAGTGGGTTTGGTTGGGTGTTTTGGGTGGATATGTAAGTGTAGAAGCCCAGGCAGAGGTAAAGACTGGTGATTGTTCTTGTTAAGGGCCGTCCGGTCAATTCTGACCCGTAGCAACCTGTGTAGGCTTTCCAGGAGCGGCTGGTGAGTTTGAACAGCCAACCTCGTGGTTCAAACCAACCTTGTGGTGGAGTGCTTATCCTCCAGCGCCACAGAGTTACGTAACTGTTACACACTGTAAATGTGGATGATAATCACATAAGATTCAAGATGAGATGAGGAGAAGGTCAGGGAAAGAGTTCCACTCAAGGAGATTCAAATGACTGAAGAAGACAATGTTCCCACGGGGCTTATCTACTGAGTCTACAGAGCAATGAGGAGGCCTCACTCCTCCTCTGACTCCCACTGAAATCTATAAACTCATCTGAAATATTTCCAGCAGCAATGGCTAAAAATATAAAGAAGTGTACACAAACTGGAGAAGATCTATAGCCCAGGAGAACAAAGCAAAACGAACTCGGAGGTGAAATAACTACCCCTTGAGAAAGTTTAGGAGACAGTTGACATCTAAAGGCTCTCGATTGTGAGGATCATGACAAGCTATGGACAGCATTGTGAAGTCTGAGTATTCCAGAACACTTCATTGTGCTCATGAGGAATCTGTACATAGACCAAGAGGCAATTGTCAGAACAGAACAAGGGAACACTGAATGGTTTAAAATCAGGAAAGGTGTGCAGCCATGTTGTATTCTTTTACCATACTTATTCAGTCTGTATGCTGAACAAATAATCCAGGAAACTGGATTATATGAAGAAAAACACGGCATCAGGATTAGAGGAAGACTCATTAACAACCTGTGATATGCAGATGATGTAACCTTGCTTGCTGGAAATGAAGAGGACTTAAAATACTTACTGATGAAGATCAAAGGCCACAGACCTCAGTATGGGTTGCAACTCAATGTAAAGAAAACAAAAATCCTCACCACTGCAGCAATAAACAGCATCCATATAAATGGAGAAAAGATTGAAGTTATCAAAGACTTCAATTTGCTCAGATCAACCATCAACACTCATGGAAGCAGCAGCCAAGAAATCAAATGATGTATTGCATTAGGTAAATCTGCTGCACAACACCTTTTTGGGGTGTTGAAGAACAAAGATTTCAGCTTGAGGACTAAGGTGCACCTGACCCAAGCCATGGTATTTTCATATGCATGCAAAAATTGGACAGTGAATAAAGAAGACTGTATAAGAATTGATGCATTTGAGTTATGGTGTTAGAGGAGAATATTAAAAGTACCAGGAGCTGCCAAAAGAACCGACAGCTCTGTGTTGGAAGAAGTACAGCCAGAGTGTTCCATGGAGGCCAGGATGGCCAAATTTTGTCTCTCATACTTCAGATATATTATCAGGAAGGACCAGTCCCTGGAGAAGGATATCATGTTTGGTAAAGTGGAAGGTCGGAGAAAAAGAGGAAAACCCCCAAAGAAATGGATTGGCACAGTGGCAGCAGTGATGGGCTTAGGCATAGCAACGATTGTGAGGCTGGCTGGACCAGGCAGTGTTTCATTCTGTTGTACTCCGGGTCTCTATGAGTCAGTACCAACTCAATGGCATCTAACAACAACAATTTCAAAGAGATAAAAGAGAACCCTATAACTTGTTTAGATCCCCGGGTGGTGCAAATGGTTTGCATTTGACTACTTCCCTAAAGGTTGGGGGTTCAAACCCACCCAGCAGCACCACAGAAGAAAGACCTGGAGATCTGCTTCGGTAACAATTACAGCCAAGAAAGCAGTTCTATTCGGTAACACAGGGGGGTCTCCATAAATCAGAAACCAAATAGGTTTGGTTTTTTGGTTTATAATTTGCTTAAACAAGAGGCAATCAGTTAAGAGTGTGAGTAGATGAAAATATGAAGACGTCAGATCCTATCCTCATTGGAAACCAAGTGAAGAGCTGCTTGTAGTATGATGATGTGGTAGATCTCTGCAGACCACTCTCATTGCAACTAGGAAAAAAACATAAAATGATAAC